ATTGATTGCGGTTTTCCTCTTGCAGTTCATAACGACCTAACACTAATGATGAGCAACTGTCGGTTTTACACTAATGGCTATTACTATTAAGCATGTAAGTGCACACGCGAGTTATCAAACGATTAGCTAATTTAAACGTGAAGTGATCGATACGTACTCATATGCTTTCCTATGATGAACGCGCGGTTGAAGAAATATTTGAATTGTAATAGTTTAGCTGAATTAAAAAATTTAATTATAGATATTGCCGTAAAAAGTTTTAAAATTGTAGCAATCATTTTAAGCATCTTTATGTAATTACTTTGATGGTCCAACAAAATTATTTTCTGATCTGTATCTAGCTAAATTTTTGAATACTTCAACAAAATCGTTTTCTCCATGATACTTCAATAAAACTATCCTTTCCATGTAATATATAAGTTGCTCGTAGAAAATTATAATTATAATTAGTGCGCTATATTATTGAGAAAGTAGAAATGGCTGAGATGGAAATATGAACTTGAGGAATAGCTACAGGCAAGTTTTCTCTGGTTACTTATAGGAGAACATGATCGAACCAATAATTAACTTGTCTCAAGAAAGCTAAAACGGGACGTAATTAATGTAGGGAATACTTAATTATAAGAGCTTAATTAAGGATGTAATGAGGCCGAAACAATTTGAAGATCGCGAGCTGTTAATCGATTATTCCTCTCTTCTTTCGGTCATATAAATTTTAATTAAAGGAATTTTTATTTTAAATTTAATAATATATATAAAAAAATTAACATGTTTGTTTTAAATAATTATTCCTCATTTAGTTACGGTTAGTTGAATTGATGATGTTGTTTTATTTGCATGATTGTAAGAGATTTCAACTATCATTATTCTAAAAGCAAAAGTTAATCTCCTATTGTTTCACCGCAAAGCTGGATCAGTGCGGGTTTTTCATACATTGATCGGTTTAATATAATCGGTTTAATCGCTTTCAAATGTGAAGTGCGAGTACCTGTGAGTACCGTTTGATATCGATTGTCCTGATTTTTTACGAAATTGCATGTATAAGGCAATGCTTCAAGATTAATTTGTAGATATATCTTATCGATTCGCGGGTATCAAGTAATACATGAACTATTTTAAGTTTCACTCAAGAGACTTTTATTACTTTATTAAATTCGCGGTACTGTCTATCTTTGACTTGAGAATTGGAGCGAGATAGTTGTTAGAGGATGAGATCTGAATTATGACGCCATAATGGTCGTATCTTATCCGTCGCGAAATAGACCGTCTGGTAAGCTAATTCTAATTCGAATCTCGTATAATTAGAACACGAGAGTGGGCCTAAAGGGAGCTGAGGATACACTGCGTATCTTCAGCGTTACATCAGAATATATGTGATTTGAAATCAGAATCGAGAAGGAATTTTAATGAAACGACCATATCAGCGAATATGAGCGAAGAGAAGTAGGAATACAAAGTGACTATTTCCTTCGACGTTATTCGAGAATTTAGTTCCGCGTATTCGTAGTCTATAGAAGTCTATAGACACGTATATACAAGCGCATCGTGGTGATAGATATGTGCATATGTACAAGAATATGGTTATGTAATGCAATGATGCAGTCAGCACGAGATTGGAACGATCAGAAATTTCATCTCTCTCTCTCTCTCTCTCTCTCTCTCTCTCTCTCTTCCTCCTTCCTTTTCGTGAGATTAATTCGTATTACATTATAGTCAATCTGATTGATCAGAAATTCGCACACGTGCTTCGATGCCTTCGATGCATTGACCGCTCGTGAATCGCCGACTTATTCCGCGTCATAAAGCAACCTGTTGATGTTTCACCTCGTTAAAATCACGATCAATCGATGAGATCTAATAGCGTTTAATATCGATGTTGATTTCTAATAAATATTGTAACTGCGGATTATGTCGGCACGTTCGCGGACATATGTATATATCATATGTGTTATTTTGATGAATGCAGTCACAATTTCATCAAAATGCGAAGTTCTCTCTCACCGGCGAAAAGCACCATACACGGTACATCATCGGTATTCATGCAACCGGGTATCATAGAACTGGTTTGTCAGCGATAATTCAGAATCTCGACGTAGAATGTAAGCCTTTATCTGTCAAAGCACATATAGAGAACAGCGGAAGTAATGTATGAATGCTAATGCTCGGAAAGCCATGCAACGAACGGATCGATTTGATTAATACGCAGAATAATCAGTATTGATTTGTGATTGTGATTCGCAATAACATTGGTGCACTTACTGTCGATAAGCGCGATCCGTTTATTCTATACTGTGTTTGTATTACTCTCCGACAAAATTAGAGCTAGAACTTTCTTATGTATATATATGTGTTTATCATTTTTAAATTATTATATGAAAAGATTGTTTTGATGTTTCAACAAGGTTTTGTTGAAATATCTAAAAATTTAAGATACAGATCTGAAAATAATTCTGTTGGAATCATCATAATTATATAGATTTAAACTGGTTGCTAAAATGTTAAAAGTTTTATGCGACATTATTCATAATATATATTTTAAAGTCCTACGTAATATCATTTGAATGGTCCAACAAAATTATTTTTAGATGCATATCTACTTAAAATTTATTTTATTTGTAATCTCTTTATAAGCAGTTTCTGTCTTATTGCAAATGCAAAATTATACGTGTTAAAATTTTGTTAAATTTATTTTTTTGCTGCCTTTATAATTTATGATAGGAACTGATGGATTACGTAACTTAAGATCGGTATACATAATGGATTCTTATTCTAATATCGTCTTAAGTAATAGTATCTTAAGTATCTTAAGGTGCTAATATAACTCTGTGGGTGGTATTCATAATCCATTCTTATTTTAAGACCGTCTTAAATAATGTCTTAATATGCTAATGCAGTTCTCTGATTGACTGACTCCTTAAGATTATAATTAAACGGTCTTAAATATAAAAAACAACGATAAATATCGGCCTTAAGCGTAAATCTATCGGTTCGCAAAATATTTATTACGCACCATTACAGCAAAAATAAATTTAACAAAATTTCAACGCGTCTAATTTTTCATTTACGATACAACAAAAACAGTTTATAAAAGAGGAGAGAAAAATACGAAAAAAATAATTTTCTGAATCTACTTTAGAACGATTTATTAAATCTACTTTAGAACGATTTATTAAATCTACTTTAGAATCCATTTATATATGTTTAGGAATTTTTCGGTAGGTCGCTTTTTATTTCTATAAACAGCTTATTTGTTTCACTTTGTATAAGTACTTTCTTGTTATTTTTATGGAATTATTTTGTTTTGGTTTATTGTTGCATTCTTTTTATCGAATCATTATTAGACATAGGTGGTGGTTGAATGTACAAAATACAATCGATAGTGTAACCATGTTTTTCTTACATTTTTTTTTAGAAATCTTTTGCTATATGCGCTGCCCGACAGCTCCCGAACAAAACCGTCTTTTCCACTTTTGTCACAGCCATTCTCCTATTGTATTACGCACAGTGACAAAAGCAGATAAGAAAGAAAACGAAAAAGAGAAAAATGAACAACAAAGATCCTTGCAGCAACACGATTGTCGTCTCTCAGGTCCAGAGGTGTCAGCTATCTCTGTCACGGCCCATTTCCCTAGTACATCCGGTTACCGTAGTCAGCGAAGTAGAAATCTTATCACAGCAAACTTCATATCGCGTCGATACATCTGTAATATATTATGTTTGATAATCATGTTTGAGATCCTTCAAAATCGAGATCAGATTAAAAGCTTGGCGCGTTTTCCGAGAAACCTATTTAACGTTTTATTGTTTACTGGTATGATAAATAGATAAATAATGAATAAATTGTAAACACAGATTTATATAATGCGCGATATTGATCAGAGCAGCTCTTACAATTAATTGTACAGCCTCATACGATGACCTGAGCTAGTTAATTGTTGTAATTAATTCAAGAATCGTCTAGAGAGAGGGAGACAGAGAAAGAGAATGCGCGCCAGAAAGACCGTTACAGTCACTGCATTAATTCTGTAATACGGATATAATGAATTTAGATATTACGACGTGGCTCATATGAACATATCCCTATAGATAAGATAAAATCTTCAAATAATATGTTCTACTATATATATTATAAGTAATATATATCCTATTTTCTTTTTTATTCTCTTTTGAGATGTCACATTTTCGTATTATTATATTTGATAGACCTTTGGCTGAGAGTATTTTTTTTAGGTCAAGAGATATTTTTTCATGCATATCTACATGAAGAATCTTATGAATCATTCAGTACGTTGAAATTTTTGGGTGAACAAGAAAGCAAGGCGAAAAAAAAGAAAAAGAAAATTTGGAAAGAATAAAAGATAATGGTACAAGTTAGAAATAAAGGACGATATTAAGGGCGAGATCCTTGTAATGCAGCAACAGTAAACATTACACATTCGTGACGTATTAATTAAGACATTTAAAGTGCTTTTGCGAAGAAACAATAAATTTATAGGAATTCGGTCGATTTCGTTGATATGATAATTTAAGGAATTTTTAATTAGAACGATAGTTACAGTATAATATATTATACACGCGGTCTGCCTCGCCATTTAACACGATGAATACGTTGGTGTGCCAACGTACGTTTCCAACGCCATTTTCAGACCTTATCAACCGAAAAAATCGCCTACGCCGAGCGGCAGCAGATCGGGTTGGCGTTCTCGTAGAAGCATCACGACGGCGGGAGCCCCCGGAGGGCACCAACACCACGTGATTGCTACTGCCGCCGCGACGGCTCAGGCTAGGATGCAGGCCGAGCAGGGCAGCATCGGCGAACTACGGGGGTACCACAACCTGCGATCTCGCAGGCACACCTTGGCCAACGTTCGGTGAGTCTCGATTTTAGCCATTACACTGGGATGAAAGGCGAACGGAGCGCCGATCAATACTTGCAGATGGCAAGAAAACATCGCACGGATATCTAAAAAAGCATAAATTTTTGAGATGTTCTTTAAACATTTGTAGTGCGGATAGATCTCTGTGCTGTTTGATTTCTGTTATTTATGATTGAAATTATTTATTGAAAAACGCGTAGGATTACGAAAGGAAATTTGATTTAATATAGAACCGTATTGATTTGTCTACAGTTTGTTGTCTACGATCGTTGATTTGCAAAATCTTCTTGTATTTTTAAAATACAGATTAAAATGAAACGTTTATATTTTTCGAATTATCTGTTTACTTTGAATTGAATCGATATATTAATATATTACAGGTACATATACATGTATAAAAAACATTTGAATATGAATTTAATATTTGATTTTATCGTTGCACGCTACAGCGAATGAATTAAAAGTACGGGAGAAGCATTTATTCATATAATGAAATTGTTCGCATATAGTATATCATTGTAAAGATCATATTATCGAAAATTACATACTACATATCTCTTTTTTCATCTTTTATATCCTTCCATTTTTTACTGGCGTTGTCTCAACCAGAGATCTAACACAAGAGTTCACTATTCACGTAAACTCTGATTAAATTCTGTGATGCGTTTTTCACATTTTATTCATGATTCTGCTGCTAGCCACTCTTTCAAACTTTTTATCACTTTATCACTATCATAACATTTTATAGCATTTTCTAGCATTTTTACAGTTTATACTGTAGCTGCATATATTTTTTTGTAGCATATATATTATTTTAATATTATTTATATTATTGAATGGATAAAATGATTGGCAAAATAAATGCTACAGTATAATATCAACTCAAATATTTAATTAAACAATATATGTTATTATACGACTGATTGAATAAAATAATGATAAATACGTGTATTTAATCTCCACAATAGCAGTTTCCTTTTTTAATTGATTCGCCAGTTTTCTCTAATTTGAAGCAAATGCAACTTGCGGATAGCGGTTCCACAGTCGATTTTTCCTCTAAAATTGACTGTAAATTATCTTTTCTTTTTTGTTCGATAGGATTAAACTTTTGCTTAGATATTTTGGCCAAGCAAGCCTGGTCCCTTTTTATAATTATTCTTTTTTGAGATATCGCACGGCATGATTTACTAGTCAGTGACACATATCTGCAGCTCTCCTGATCATGAGAAATCTTCTTGATGATCTTCTCGATGTGATGTTTCTCTTGCGGCATCCTACTCTGTATTTTTGCTTTGCAATCGCTACACAATCTATCATGCAATATCGGATGATCGATTTTAGGGCGAATAAACATACGCTTGAACGTAGCTGCCGCTGGAGGCGTTGCATCTATCTGCGGTTGAACCTCTAATCTAGGTCTTGTCGACGACGGAATTGGAGTTTTACCGCATGCACAACAGTTACAAGCTGTTCTGCCCATTTCGTCGGATTTCCCGCCATAATTAATTGTCCTAATCTCGCGTTCTGTGTCCGGTCGCGCTAGCATGGTGGCGATCTTTATAGATCGTAAAAGTTCATCCGTGGGCACTCTCGCGCGTTCTCTTTCATCTCTTACAACTCGATCGTGGCTAACGTGGCTTGTTTTATCCGTCTGTGATCCGATGCTGGAAGTCGTGACGGTCGATTGGTCCTTTAAGCGTTTGCGCCAGAGCATTTTTCGGCCGGTTATTTCAGGACGGTCGCCAGCGGTTTCAGTCCTCGAGGCTTTTAGCTCGGCTGGTTTTAAATATTCACTAATATTTTGTATACGGGGCGGTTCAGTGGTCGAAATTGCCTGCGAGGTTATTTGTACAACTGCAGTTTTGATGCTCTCGGTTTGTACAACTTTAGCTTGTTCATTGACCTCATTTTGTACGATTTCAGTTTGCATCATTTTGGTTTGTACGACCTCGGATTGTATAACTTCGGTTTGTACGACTTCGGTTTGAGGTACATCAGTTTGCGGAATCTCGAGCTGCTTCGTAGTCTCGATCGGTGGTCGCTGCAAATGAAGGAATCATATATTCAGAATGATCAACCGCTATTAATACACTAGAGCGAGACTAGAAACTATGAATAATTTAAGGCTTCCATATTATGTATGAAAGTTATATTATTCTTTCAGAAAGACATTAAAATTATAGTGTTTGTTAAGAAATTGTTAATTATTAATAATTAATAAGAAAGCGATAATTGAAGTGAATAATATTTACTAACCAAACAACATTCCGTACATGGTGGCTTCGCTATCTGCAATAGTTCCTTCTCTTTGATTTTCGCTATGATTAGATACGGCTGTACCACTAATCTTAGATCGAGTGGTATCACTGGTATTTCCATTTCAGTCGATTTTGTTTCAGTAATTGGATTTTTTAATTCTATCTGAACTATTTCTGACCTTTTCTTTGATACTTCTCTTTTTATTTTTGATGTTGATTTCTTGAGCAGCTTTGTCGGTGTTTCCTCTTTTTTTATTTGAGGTATTTCTTCTTTTTTTATTTGAGATATTTCTTCTTTTTTTATTTGAGGTATTTCTTCTTTTTTTATTTGAGGTATTTCTTCTTCTTCCTTCTTTTCAAATAATTCGATAGACGGTATAACTTCTTCCGGTAGAATTTTTTTTATTTCTTTATCTTTTTCTTTTTTAATTTTTACTTCAAGCATTTTTTTCAGGTCTTCGATTTTCTCTTCCATTTCTTTTTTTATCATTGATATTGTTGGTATTGGCTGAATTATTTCAATCTTTTCTTCTGTTACTACATCCGCATGTAATAATTTTTTTACTTCAATTTTTTCTTTCTTTGCCATATTTGGCAATTCTGCGGCTTCAATTTGTTTTTTTTTTACTATATCCGTAATCGGTGAAACCTTTGCAGTTTCAATTTTTTCTTTTGCCATATCCGAAATCGATGGTAATTCTACGGTTTCAATTTTTTCTTCTCTTACTATATTCGAAATTGGTGGCAACTTTATGGCTTCATTTTTTTCTTTTTTTTCCATGACCTCAATTGGTGATAGTTCTGTGACTTCATTTTTTTCTTCTTTTACTATTTCGGCAATCAGTAGCATTTTTGCGGTTTCAATCTTTTCTTTTTTTATTGCGGGTTTTTCTTTTTCGATTTTTTCTTTGATTACCGCGTCCAGAAGCAATGAATCTTCTTTTCCATTTAAAATAGATGTAGGCTCTTCCATTTTAATTTTTTCTTCTATTGCTTTTGCAATCGGTGCTTTTTCAACATCTACGATAGGAAATTTGTCGGGTTCAAATTTTTCTACCTCGGTTATGTCCACAGTTGGTGAAATTGTCTCTGGTATCATTTTTTTTACTTCTTTTACATCTACTACTGGTATTATTTCTTCTTGTTCTATCTCTTTCTTTTCTGAAATCGGTGAAACTTCTACAGTTTCCATAGGTGGTATCATTTCTACAATTTCCATAGGTGGTATCATTTCTTTCATGTCTGAAATTTTAGTTTCATCTAGCGGTGAAATTTCCTCTGACTTTTCTGCAACCCATTCTACCAATTCGCTTTCCTCAATTTCTGTCACTGGTAACACTTTATCTGCTTTTTCGTTTTTTACTGTTATTTCTTTTATTTTTATTTCTCTTGGTATTTTTATTTCTTTCTCTTTTTCATCATTTTTTTCTATTTTTGGAACAGTCAACATTTTTTCTTCATCTATAGAATTTACAGTTTTATCAATTGCTTCTAATTTTGTTAATATATTATTTATCAGAGCTTTGACTATTGCTTTTCTTTCTGCATTTTTGTTTTTCAAAAACATTTCAATTTTTTCGACTCGCGTTTCTTCAACTTTTATTTCAATATCTGGTTTGGATATTAATGGAAGTGTGTCATCTTTCAAAATTTTTTGATCGTCCATTGTAGGAGGCTGAAAAGAATCTTTCATTGAAATCGTCGTAGGGAGTTTTATGTCAATTGGTACCTCTTCTTTTGTAAAAGTAGGTAGTAATTCTGCTTCAGCTATTGCTTCTGCTTCTATTGATGCTTTTACTTCTGCCGATGCTTCTTCAGAGTTAAGGAATGGTTCGGAATCAATTTTTATCGCAGGTTTAATTTCTTTAGCCTTCAAAATTATTAATTCGTCTGTAATTTAGTTTTATTTATTAATTTTTATTTTGTTTTATTTTTATGTTGTTCTTCTTAATCATCTTCTTCTGCTTACCTTCTGCGTTTATTGTTGCATTTTCCTCTTCCATTTCTTTAGGTTTTATCTAATAGAACATATATAATTTGAATTGTAACACAATAGTTTTAATTTGAAAATATTATGTTTAATTAAATTGAAAGCGTATAAATTTTTTTAAACATTAAGTACTATTTTTTTTTCTAAACATTAAATACTGTTTGATAAAAAGTAACTTTTTCTCTCTTCAAAAAAACCACAATACATATTCTGAAAATTTTTGCGCTGAACATTTTTTTATGATGCCGTTGGTACGGCAACAACTTGCGTACCACGGCAGGATTTAGAGTAAATTAAATGGGCTAAAAACAACGCTTTTGGCTATTTTCAACAGTTTTTTTATGGTAAAACTAAACTTTGTTTCTCAATCAAGTACATATCTCGAAGTTTTTTTCATACTAAACATGATGCAGTCAAAATTGACGTAGCAGAATTTTTAGTAAATTGAGGTAATAGTAAATTAAGATGATTTTTGGCATTTTACTCCAATTTATTAAAAGTTCTGGTACATAAATTTTGATAAAGGCATCTTGTGTTTAGCGCACGAAATCTTCGAAATAGTAATGCTATAGCACTTCAAATAAGAAAAAGATTTTTTGTTGAAATTCATAATTTATGCAGAAAGTCCACAGTTTAAGCAATTAAAGCTTGAAAGTAAATTGTATAATCATGAAATAAAATTCATTTGAACATTTTTGAATTGTATTTTTAGATGGCATAAACTTTATTTAAAAACAAATTTTTGTTTCTTTGTAAATAATAATTTTGTAATAATATTAAAAATGGCTAAAAATGTTATTTTTTGCTCATTTTACTCCAATCATTTTATTCAAATGCCATGCTACGCAAATTTTATTAATTTAACATCATGTTCAAAAAATCTTCGGAATATGTATTGTGATACTTCGGAAAGAATTACAACAATATTATTAAATAGTGAGTTATTAAATAGTGTGAGATATCGAGATGGATATTAAATATAGTGAGAATTGAAAAGTATAGTTTATGTTTGTCATTATTTATAAACTATGATTATTATTCACAAATAATGAATTGCAATATTAGATATATCTGATTTCTTACCCCAATATACATGCGAACTTGTTTTGCTAAGGTATCAGCATCTTTCTTTACTACGTGACAGTCAGGATGTTTCTAAATAAATGGAACAGAAATATATTATTATGAAAAAATATACATATTCTGCATTTATTGTGCTACATAATACTACGTTAAACTTTTTCTAGCTAATGTAATATTATTAGCTAAAATATTAATACAGTTTGTGTATATTTATATAATTGCAATATTTCTTTAATTTTAATTGTAATACGAATTGTATACCGCTGCTGTCGTGCGAATTGTATCGATCGCATCAATCCACGATAAGATCGTCTTGCGTTGTATCATGACATTCTGATTTTGTTTCTTTCTAGCCTCGGTGTTGTTTACTTCCGGCGCTCGGTTTTTTGGCATCGTTACTAGCCTATCATCCGCAGTTTCTTCGATTGCCCGTGATGTTACAGTTTCTTTAACATCATCTACTTTAGCGACCCGTTTTTCCACTTCTGCTTTCTCGGCAATTTTTCTCTCAATTTCGATGCCAGGGATTTCATCTTCTTTCTTTTCTCTTTTTTCAACCTCGTTGTGTAATTTTTTTACTAATTCTTTTTTAAATGGCTTCTCTCCTTCCTCAGTAATCACGGTTTCTTTTGTTAGTACAGGATGTTCCACACTCAACGCAATAAATTCCTCATCTGTCATACCGACAAGTGACGTTATCACATCATTGCATACGAAATCATGTGCGCACGGCACACCGTCATCTGTATACAGCTCTTCTAACGAGCCTAATTGCGCCAAATATTCCCGAGCTTCTTTATATCTCTGTTGCTCATAAGCTATGTCTTCTGGTCGAACTATACCTTCTGCATCTTTGATTGGTGCAAGATCTATTGGACGATCGACAGCAAGATCTACTGGACGATCGACAGCAAGATCTACTGGACGCTCGACAGCAAGATCTACTGGACGATCGACAGCAATATCTACTGGACGATCGACAGCAATATCTACTGGACGATCGACAGCAAGATCTACTGGACGATCGACAGCAATATCTACTGGACGATCGACAGCAAGATCTACTGGACGATCGACAGCAAGATCTACTGGACGATCGACAGCAAGATCTACTGGACGATCGACAGCAAGATCTACTGGACGATCGACAGCAAGATCTACTGGACGATCGACAGCAAGATCTACTGGACGATCGACAGCAAGATCTACTGGACGATCGACAGCAAGATCTACTGGACGATCGACAGCAAGATCTACTGGACGATCGACAGCAAGATCTACTGGACGATCGACAGCAAGATCTACTGGACGATCGACAGCAAGATCTACTGGACGATCGACAGCAAGATCTACTGGACGATCGACAGCAAGATCTACTGGACGATCGACAGCAAGATCTACTGGACGATCGACAGCAAGATCTACTGGACGATCGACAGCAAGATCTACTGGACGATCGACAGCAAGATCTACTGGACGATCGGCAGCAACATCTACTGGACGATCGACAGCAACATCTACTAGACGATCGACAGCAACATCTACTGGACGATCGACAGCAACATCTACTGGACGATCGACAGCAAGATCAACCACATCAGGTTTAACTGAGACCAATTCATCGATAAAAATAGTTTCTATATCGGCACCGACCAGGACGACTCTCGCCAATGCTTCTTTATCCTCAACTTCGGTTATTGCTAACGCTTCCTCGTTCACGACTTTGGTTTTCGCTAGTACCTCTTCATCCACAACTTCGACTTTCGCAAGAACTTCGTCGTCCTTTACTGTGGCTATGTCATCTATCCTGCCGATTGGCCGATGCACGACTTTAGCCTTTACAGCAACTTCCTTATCTACCACTTTCGCAACATCATCGTCGCGACCTATCGTAGCTTCAACTTTCTCAATACTTAGAAATTTCTCTAGTTCTGTTCTACACGTGACTAGTCTTGTCCGGCACTTCTCGAGCGCATCTTCCAATTCGCATACACGATTCGCAAGTTGTTGATTGGCGGTAGTTTTCATGTCCAATTGTTCTTGCAATGCGCTCGTTGTAGTGACCATGTCGCCCTCTATTTTAGACCACAATTCATCGGCCTGCTGAAGTGTTCTCATGTAAGCTTCCTCACGACGTTCCAACTCGGCTATTTCTCGCTTTGTTATCACCTCCTCTTCCGCTAATCGTTGTAGCTTCTCCAGACACTGAATGTCTCCGAACTCAATGGACGTCACGCTAGAGACTTTGCTGAGATGTCTCTGTTTACATTGTGTATCACCGCACTGACACGATTCGTCTATTTCTATTGCTTTCTTTTCCATCGCTTCTTGCAACATTCTATTTTCTTCATTTAACTGTTCTATCACGTTTCTTTGTTCTTCTTGAATTTTCCTGGCTTCGTCAAGTTTTCTTTTTCTTTCTTCCAACGTCGCGAGTTTCTCCAACCAAAGAGTTCGCGCTTCCTCCACCTTTTTCAATGCCAGTTTTCTTTCTGCCTCAACTTCTCGTACCCTGCAATCATAATGACAGCTCGGTGTGCTGCGACAAGAGAGTTCCCTCGTGTCTTTAAATTGTTTCTCTAGAATACGCTTGATCCTACAGACAGGCACGCCTTGTGACATTCGCCAAATATTCCATATCATCACCGCCGGGATCGAACATTCAAGCATATCCAAACGTTGTCGCAGATCTCCTTCCATCTTTTCTAATTCTTCTCTACGCTGCTCTCGTTTGCCAATTATATCACGAAGAGGACGTTGACATCGATATTTATCGGCCATCACCGTCGCTATATCGCCAATTTTTCCTGGATTGTTAATCTCGCGTTTTGATTTATCATATTTCTTGGTGTTATCAACTCTCTTAGGAAAGGATTTTGACGTGATTGTCTCTTTTAATATTTCATTATTCTCTTTCATTGCTTCTTTTTGGAAAGAATTTGTTTCTTTTATTGAGAATCTTTCTTCTTTTTCTTCCGATGTATCTTTGATTATAAAAATCTTTGATTTAGCGTGACGTTCTGTTTCTTCTGTATTTTTTTGATAGGTAGTACGCTTCGACGGATCTTTATTAGAATTATTTTCATTCTCCATTTTCTATTCGTCTGACTAAAGATTTAATGATATTCTCTAAATTTTTTATTTTGCTGCGAATTTAATCTAACCAATGATTAATCTGATCAAAACGTAGGTTAATTTATCTGTCATAATGTTTTCTAAGATATAATAATCTATCATTATATAATAAAATATAATGCAATTCCGAAGAATTTATATTTGCAATTATAAAATGTACAGCTGTGCGATTTGAATCATTCTGTTCAAAATTTTAATTTATGATGCATTTTAGCGCTAAGCGGTTGTGAAATAGCGTTCCTACTTCCGCGATTATTTTCATCTGTTTGGAGATTGTGTCAAAAATACATTCATTAATAGCGCTAAAGGATTTCTAACCCAATTTACCTGGCCAATTATTCCCTCTTGCGTCGTCGTACACATACATTATCTTCATAACCATTAAATCATGTCTCGCTGGTTGATATATGGGATACGCCTAGCACTCGTCGTTCGTTGCGTGAATGCGTAACGCATTACGTTTTCAACGAAAACGCACCATCAATTTTGGACAGATTCCAACGCGAGCAGATTCTGTCGGCAGATTGCCGCAAATCATTCGTGAGATTTGTCATAGCACCCGATTACAGCTTTCGATATCCCTTTGTCATAAATCATGGCTCTCGATACGAACATGTCTGTATATCCATTTGGCTATCTTTGTCATCAATGTACCGATCAAGATTGCTTTACTTTATTAACGTCTTTATTAAAATGATATTAACGTTTTGTTGTATCTTTCATGTTATGTGATAGATATAAGACAGTGGAACAAAATTATTTTATGGCAACAATGATAATATAAAATATACTTTATTATATTTTTATTATTAAAAGAACGATCTTTTTTTTCTCGAGTATAAAAATAAATTTCAAAATGCAAAATGCCTTTCTATTAAATAATAGTATTATTATATATTATAGTTATTGTATATTATTATTTTATAAGCAATAAAATCAGATGATGCGATTTATGCCAAAAAAAAGTATACAAAACGTTATATGACAAGTATTTTGATGTTAAACTTTGAGAGCATGCATAAAAGCAGTACGGTATTCAGCAAACTATTTTTATAGTGCTCCTATATGCGTCAACCTCGGATATCTTTATTCATGCACCGTAGTAAGAAATCGTTACAGAGATATGTTGGATCGTTTAACACCCAATATATTAAATTTCATATAGAACGATTCTTAAATATCAAACTACACAATTTATAAAGTATACTTTAAAGATTTGATGACAACGAACGAGAGCTAAATTCTATGCTAAAATTTCTATTTATCTATATATATTATTTCTATA